ATGGTCCCCAGGACTATATGCGAATGAAAACTCACACCCCAGAAGTGACTCGAACCCATACTCCCAGAAGCAACGCAACTGGTAACTACAGGGCGCCTTAATCCGCTTGACCATCACGGCCGTCAAAAGGAAGTGATAGCCGAGGCTATTTGAGCCACTTCCCCGACGGCAACTCGGATGGTAATCTTGGGCATAGCATTTCACCAAATCACCTCATTCTTTGGGGCACACGTGAGGAACACAAATGCGAACAAGCCTGAATGGTCCCCAGGACTATATGCGAATGAAAACTCACACCCCAGAAGTGACTCGAACCCATACTCCCAGAAGCAACGCAACTGGTAACTACAGGGCGCCTTAATCCGCTTGACCATCACGGCCGTCAAAAGGAAGTGATAGCCGAGGCTATTTGAGCCACTTCCCCGACGGCAACTCGGATGGTAATCTTGGGCATAGCATTTCACCAAATCACCTCATTCTTTGGGGCACACGTGAGGAACACAAATGCGAACAAGCCTGAATGGTCCCCAGGACTATATGCGAATGAAAACTCACACCCCAGAAGTGACTCGAACCCATACTCCCAGAAGCAACGCAACTGGTAACTACAGGGCGCCTTAATCCGCTTGACCATCACGGCCGTCAAAAGGAAGTGATAGCCGAGGCTATTTGAGCCACTTCCCCGACGGCAACCCCGACCATTCAGGCTTGTTCGCATTTGTGTTCCTCACGTGTGCCCCAAAGAATGAGGTGATTTGGTGAAATGCTATGCCCAAGATTACCATCCGAGTTGCCGTCGGGGAAGTGGCTCAAATAGCCTCGGCTATCACTTCCTTTTGACGGCCGTGATGGTCAAGCGGATTAAGGCGCCCTGTAGTTACCAGTTGCGTTGCTTCTGGGAGTATGGGTTCGAGTCACTTCTGGGGTGTGAGTTTTCATTCGCATATAGTCCTGGGGACCATTCAGGCTTGTTCGCATTTGTGTTCCTCACGTGTGCCCCAAAGAATGAGGTGATTTGGTGAAATGCTATGCCCAAGATTACCATCCGAGTTGCCGTCGGGGAAGTGGCTCAAATAGCCTCGGCTATCACTTCCTTTTGACGGCCGTGATGGTCAAGCGGATTAAGGCCCCCTGTAGTTACCAGTTGCGTTGCTTCTGGGAGTATGGGTTCGAGTCACTTCTGGGGTGTGAGTTTTCATTCGCATATAGTCCTGGGGACCATTCAGGCTTGTTCGCATTTGTGTTCCTCACGTGTGCCCCAAAGAATGAGGTGATTTGGTGAAATGCTATGCCCAAGATTACCATCCGAGTTGCCGTCGGGGAAGTGGCTCAAATAGCCTCGGCTATCACTTCCTTTTGACGGCCGTGATGGTCAAGCGGATTAAGGCGCCCTGTAGTTACCAGTTGCGTTGCTTCTGGGAGTATGGGTTCGAGTCACTTCTGGGGTGTGAGTTTTCATTCATATATATATATATATATATATATATATATATATATATATATATATATATATATATATGTCGTACCTAGTAGCCAGAACGCACTTCTCAGCCTACTATGCAAGGCCCGATTTGCCTAATAAGCCAAGTTTTCATGGTGCGGAGGGATGCGGTACTCCGTGCGGTTCATAGTCATTTCCCTTCCCTCTACCCTTTTGTACATTCATGCTACAGTATGGATCTTAAGCTACTTTTTGGCGAACATGAAATTGACTCGCGAGAAGGCGTCCAACAGGGTGATCCCTTGCTCCTCTCCTTTTCTGCTTAGTCATCAAACAAGTCACAGAGGTCCTGTCCAGCGAGCTTAACATCTGGTTCTTGGATGATGGTACCCTAGCTGGTTCCCAAGACTCCCTCCTGGAGGACATCAGAAAAATCCAGGAGCAAGGTGCAGTTTTAGGCCTCACCCTGAACCCTTCTAAATGTGAAATAATATGTTCCAACCAGGGCATCGTAGAGAGAACAGAGGGTCTTCTGCCAAATATCAATAAAACTAAACCTGAAGACAGCACACTCCTAGGAACTCCCCTGGGGTTGAAAGCCATCGATGAGGTCCTTGATAAGAAAATCGCCGACCTTAAGAGGATGGATGGGAGGATTGAGGATATTGATGCTCATGATGCACTCTACCTCATCACCAGATGTCTGTCCCTCCCCAGGTTAACCTACTTTCTGAGGTGTTACAGTAGCCAAAAACTAAGTGAGTATGACCGGTTACTGAAATTAATGCTAGAAAAAGCCCTTTATCTCTCTCTCGATGACCTACAGTAGAAACAAGCCTCTCTTCCCGTAAGACTTGGGGGCCTCGGAGTTCGAACAGCAACGCAAATCGCTGTTCCAGCCTTCCTGTCCTCCTTATCAGCATCCGACGACCTTGTGAAGGAAATTCTACCTGCCCACTTACATCAGCTGGCAGGTGTACATGATCCCAATTTTACACGCTGTGCCACAGAGTGGGCCTCTCGTGCAGGCCAATCACCTCAACCACCATCCCCAAAAGCCCACAAGCAATCCAGCTGGGATGGTCCCATTGTAGACCAAGTTGCTGCAGAGTGCCTGGGTGCTGCAACAACACAACACGACATTGCTCGCCTCACAGCAGTAGCAGCACCACATGCAGGGGATTTCCTGTTAGCAACCCCAATGTCGGCAACTGGCACGCGTCTCACACCACACGCCCTCCGAATTGCTGTGGCCCTCCGCCTTGCTGCCCCAATCCACACCAGATATAGGTGTATTTGCGGCGAGGTGGTGGCTGACAGGTACGGCCACCATGGCCTACTCTGCCAAAGCACAGGGGAATGGCACTCGAGGCACAGTGAAGTTAACGACATCATCAAGAGGAGCCTCACCACAGCTGGATGCCCAGCTGAAAGAGAGCCCCGTTACCTAACGCCCCGTAACTCTGATGCTCTTATTGGTCGCCCGGATGGTATCACAGTGAACCCCTGGAAGAATGGCAAGCAGTTGGTATGGGACTACACATGCGTATCAACCCTGGCTAACACCTACATTAACCTCAGTGTTGCACAACCAGGTGGCGCTGCCACCCACAGGGAAGCAGCCAAATCCCGTAAGTATAGAGAACTGGATCACCACTACAATTTTGTCCCCATTGCTTCTTAGACACTCGGCGCCTGGGGTAAAAGTGCTACCAGTTTTTTGAAGGAACTGGGTTCTAGGCTCATTGAAACAACAAGGTAACCGAGAGCTGCAAGCTTTCTTTTCCAGTGCCTCAGTGTGGCGATACAGAGGGGAAATGCGCACTGCATCCAGGGTTCCTGCCCGCCATCTGAGGAGCTGGAGGAACTCGACAACCTATGACAACCATCTTTGTAACCCATATGTAACTCCTTTTTTGTAACAAAGTTCAAATAAAGTAAATATATATGTGTACATACAAAAGAATGGGGGTGGTAGGAGAAGATAATATTAGTGTTCAGTGAGAAACCACAAGGTCTCCTCTGAATACTTTTTATTTTCTTCTCCGAGGCGATGGGTCCCCACATTGGCACCAGAGGTGGTACCCTCTCTCTCTCTCTCTCTCTCTCTCTCTCTCTCTCTCTCTCTCTCTCTCTCTCTCTCTCTCTCTCTCTCTCTCTATATATATATATATATATGTGTGTGTGTGTGTGTGTGTGTGAGTGTGTACTCACCTATTTGTGCTTGCGGGGGATGAGCTTTGGCTCTTTGGTCCCGCCTCTCAACTGTCAATCAACTGGTGTACAGATTCCTGAGCCTACTGGGCTCTATCATATCTACATTTAAAACTGTGTATGGAGTCAGCCTCCACCACATCACTGCCTAATGCATTCCATCCGTTAACTACTCGGACACTGAAAAAGTTCCTTCTAACGTCTCTGTGGCTCATGTGGGTACTCAGTTTCCACCTGTGTCCCCTTGTTCGCGTCCCACCAGTGTTGAATAGTTTATCCTTCTTTACCCGGTCGATTCCTCTGAGGATTTTGTAGGTTGTGATCATGTCTCCCCTTACTCTTCCATCTTCCAGTGTCGTAAGGTGTGTGTGTGTGTGTGTGTGTGTGTGTGTGTGTGTGTGTGTGTGTGTGTGTGTGTGTGTGTGTGTGTGTGTGTGTGTGTGTGTGTGTGTGTGTGCTTACCTAATTGTGCTTACCTAATTGTGCTTGCGGGGGTTGAGCTCTGGCTCTTTGGTCCCGCCTCTCAACCGTCAATCAACTGGTGTACAGATTCCTGAGCCTATTGGGCTCTATCATATCTACATTTGAAACTGTGAATGGAGTCAGCCTCCACCACATCACTTCCTAATGCATTCCATTTGCTAACTACTCTGACACTGAAAAAGTTCTTTCTAACGTCTCTGTGGCTCATTTGGGTACTCAGCTTCCACCTGTGTCCCCTTGTTCGCGTCCCACCAGTGTTGAAAAGTTCGTCCTTGTTTACCCGGTCGATTCCCCTGAGGATTTTGTAGGTTGTCATCATGTCCCCCCTTACTCTTCTGTCTTCCAGTGTCGTGAGGTGCATTTCCCGCAGCCTTTCCTCATAACTCATGCCTCTTAGTTCTGGGACTAGTCTAGTAGCATACCTTTGGACTTTTTCCAGCTTCGTCTTGTGCTTGACAAGGTACGGGCTCCATGCTGGGGCCGCATACTCCAGGATTGGTCTTACATATGTGGTGTACAAGATTCTGAATGATTCCTTACACAGGTTCCTGAACGCCGTTCTGATGTTAGCCGTCACGTGTGTGTGTGTGTGTGTGTGTGTGTGTGTGTGTGTGTGTGTGTGTGTGTGTGTGTGTGTGTGTGTGTGTGTGTGTGAGTGTGTGTGTGTGTAATTTTAATTTTTGTTACATATGATGCTATATGGGATAGCCCTCAAGGCACTTATCACGACAAAGACAAAATATGTATAATTCACTCAACTTTATCTAATTCAGCACGCTGGTCTTGATGCAGTATGATGATACCACAAATAAAGTATATTAATAACAATAATATTATTTATTTGAATTATATTTCTTGTAAAAAATAACTTCTATTTTTTGGTTCTCATAGAATGCCTAAGCTGTTGGATGCCTTTCCTGGACTTTCCCAGATTAAATCAGTTGTCCAGCTGGTGACAGGAGACACTGAAGGCGCTGCAGCGACACAACAGAACTTTCTGAAGCTCTGCCCCGGAGTATCGCAGGTCACATCAGTTGTTCAGGTGATCAGTGGTGATGAAGAAGGTGCCAAAGAAACACAGAAGGAGTTCCTGAAAGGTGTAAATGACCTTGTGGATTCTGTGCCAGTTGTTGGACACGCAAAGGGGACAGCACACTTCGCTTTTGGTGACAATGCAGGAGGTCATAAGGCTGTGCAAGCTGCAAACCGTACCACGGGTGCCATTATAGGTGGGGTCGGAGGATTAGTGGTTGGAGCTCCAGTGGGAGCTGTTAAAGGAGCAATAGCTGGAGGAAATTTTACGAGCACCCTGAGTTCTCCACCTGAAGATTACCCAGATGAAGAATTCCAAGAGGATTCAAATAGCAGCAGGAAGTTAAATAAAAAATAGGATGTTTATTTATAAAAAAAATTATGGTAAGAACTAGTTAGCAATGCAGAGCGAGGATTTTTGGAGAATAGTCGATTTTTTTGTGTAAATGTTTATAAGGCATTACCATGATTAATATAATTTTGTAAGCTGTTTCCGTTGATTTATTAGATTAAATTAAAGACATTTGGTTTCATTTAACTGGAAATTTGCACCTTTAATTTTAAACGTGTTATTATGAGTATTGTTATATAATGCAAAATTAACGTATTTATTTGGGTAAAAACTATCATGCCCTTTTAAAGATTCTAAATACTTACAGTAAATTTGCATCTATTTCATCTTCTTTTTCGATTGAATATATTTAGCTCGTATAATCAGGCATCGGATAATTTTTTTAAAGTCATGGTATCATTTTTGTTGCTCGACACTCAACAAACAAAAGGTGTGCATTCTTTTTTGTACAGGTCACACTAGTGAGTTGTACAGAGTGAGAATTACTTTCCATGATCTAAACTCAAAATATCTCCCAATGAGGCCTAATATACTATTAGCTTTCTTTACTGCTTCACTGCACTGCTTATTTGGCTTCAGATATTCAGATAGATATTCATTTGAACACCTTGATCGCTTTCTTCAGTCAATTTCATTCTGTAGCTTTAATCAACATCTTTATTTACAATATGTACTTTTTTACATTTATCATTAAAATTCGTCTTGAAGTCTTTAAACTTGTTACTAAGCTGATTAAGTTGGTTGGTGAACTTTTTCGCTCTTCTCGGGTTGAGACTTTACTTCCTAGTTAAGTGCAATCAGGAAATTTAGATATTGTACAATATTAACGATATCACAAAAAAATAACTATGTCAGACCTGTGGCACTTCATTTGTAAGGTTTATCCTCATGACACCATGGACGCAAATAATATTACATATGTTTGTTTTATAATAGTTATTAACTCATGAGAGAGATAATTATATTACATTTGTGTTGTAGAAGAGAGAAGCGTAATTAGGAATAACCTTAATTAACATAGATATGTGAATCCCACTGCCCTAAAAAATTTTTATTAACTTGAGTTATATAATAATTGTCTTCAATTAGTAAAACTTGCACTCCAAGAGTCAGTGAACAGGTAGTAGCACAATAATGTTGTAGCAACTTAACTAAGCGACTTCATCAATAATTTGCAACTTTTAATCCACTCTAGAAAAATATAATGCATAAACCCGACAATTGTAAATTTATCCTATTGATAATTTTCTATTTAAATTCGAGCAAGTCACAATAGCGTTGGTAAATTGTTTTAACAAATAGGTTTTCTCCTATTTATTAATTACAAACGTAAGTCGAATTAAAATATCCACAAGGACCGTGACGAGGATTCGAACCTGCGTCCGGGAGCATCCCAGACACTGCCTTAATCGACTGAGCTACGACAGGGTTAAAAAGAGTTGAAACCGAAGTTCTACTGAACTTATTGGATCCCGTAGCCTCTCCGAGGCACAAACCAGGAATTAACACAACCCCCCCCCCCCCTGCACCCCAGCGATGTCAATAGGCCGTTCTCCCTCTTCGCCCTTACATCATTACACACAGAGATCACACTAACGTGATGCATCAAATTAACAAATCCACAAGAGACGTGACGAGGATTCGAACCTGCGTCCGGGAGCATCCCAAACACTGCCTTAATCCACTGAGCTACGACAGGGTTAAAAGAGTTGAAACCGAAGTTCTACTGAACTTACTGGATCCCGTAGCCTCTCCGAGGCACAAACCAGCATTTTACACAACTCCCCCCCCCCTGCACCCGAGCTATGTCAATAGGTCGTTCTCCCTCTTCGCCCTTACATCATTACACACATTATTATATTAGAATATTATTATACTAGAAAATATTAGAGTTAGTGTGTCTTGGGGGAGTACTGAGGGACAGGTCTCCTGATCTGGAAGGCAGCCACTAAAACATCGCAGCCGAGGTTGCAGGATTAAATTAATGTCTGTCTGAGTTTTGGCACAACAGTACTTGCACCTCGAATTCCATTTGGCCTCTTAGGATGTGTTAGTAAAGTAGGACATTTCAATTTGATTTAAATTTACGTGTTTTAAAATAATAAAGTGTTTTAATGTTATTGTGTTTAGTTATATATTCCCCTTTTCTTTTAATGCGGTGTGAGTCATTTTATATAGGATATTCCCGGATGGTATTGGAAGCCTTTGGCAGTTAAGATTACAGTATTACTTCTCAAGAGTTATTTACCAAGATTCTTATTTGCCCCCTTTGAGTTCCCTGATTATTGAGTCCCGTCCTTCTTGGGGAAACAATAATTTAGACACAATCATTTATGGTTGGGAAGGTGGTGGCAGTGTTTAACAATTTTAATTATTAGTTATAAGATAATTACCCCTATTCTTGTTGTGTCCTCCTCATTTAATATTCAGGTTATATTCGTTGCAGTTCAGTGAGGAGTCATACTGAACTGTAACAGTGTTAAGCTGGGGTATTAAAGGGAAAAGGGAGAGTAGGTAGAAAGGGTATATATATATATATATATATATATATATATATATATATATATATATATATATATATATATATATATAAATATATATATATATATATATATATATATATATATATATATATATATATATATATATATATATATATATATATATATATTATTAAATATGACCGAAAAAGTAAGATTAATAATTCTAACACGAATTTTCTCAATCTTTCGTACATTACGCTTCACTGTTGGAGGTAAATCAAAAATCACTTCTCCAAAATTCATTTTTATTTCTAGTCTGACGCGACACGGGCGCGTTTCGTAAAACTTATTACATTTTCAAAGACTTCACAAATACACAACTGATTAGAACGTATCTCTGATTTTATATCTACATTTGAGTGAGGTGGGAAGGGTGATGTGGCATTAACACAAGACAGAACAGGAGGGGATATTAATAGGGTATTAAAAGTATCAACACAAGACAGAACAGAAACAATGGGTATTGAATAGAAGTGTTTGTAGAAAGCCTATTGGTCCATATTTCTTGATGCTTCTATATTGGAGCGGAGTCTTGAGGTGGGTAGAATATAGTTGTGCAATAATTGGCTGTTGATTGCTGGTGTTGACTTCTTGATGTGTAGTGCCTCGCAAACGTCAAGCCGCCTGCTATCGCTGTATCTATCGATGATTTCTGTGTTGTTTACTAGGATTTCTCTGGCGATGGTTTGGTTATGGGAAGAGATTATATGTTCCTTAATGGAGCCCTGTTGCTTATGCATCGTTAAACGCCTAGAAAGAGATGTTGTTGTCTTGCCTATATACTGGGTTTTTTGGAGCTTACAGTCCCCAAGTGGGCATTTGAAGGCATAGACGACATTAGTCTCTTTTAAAGCGTTCTGTTTTGTGTCTGGAGAGTTTCTCATGAGTAGGCTGGCCGTTTTTCTGGTTTTATAGTAAATCGTCAGTTGTATCCTCTGATTTTTGTCTGTAGGGATAACGTTTCTATTAACAATATCTTTCAGGACCCTTTCCTCCGTTTTATGAGCTGTGGAAAAGAAGTTCCTGTAAAATAGTCTAATAGGGGGTATAGGTGTTGTGTTAGTTGTCTCTTCAGAGGTTGCATGGCTTTTCACTTTCCTTCTTATGATGTCTTCGATGAAACCATTGGAGAAGCCGTTATTGACTAGGACCTGCCTTACCCTACAGAGTTCTTCGTCGACTTGCTTCCATTCTGAGCTGTGGCTGAGAGCACGGTCGACGTATGCGTTAACAACACTCCTCTTGTACCTGTCAGGGCAGTCGCTGTTGGCATTTAGGCACATTTCTATGTTTGTTTCCTTAGTGTAGACTGCAGTGTGGAAACCTCCGCCCTTTTCCATGACTGTTATATCTAGAAAAGGCAGCTTCCCATCCTTTTCCGTCTCGTAAGTGAAACGCAGCACGGAACTCTGCTCAAATGCCTCCTTCAGTTTCTGCAGATGTCTGACATCAGGTACCTGTGTAAAAATGTCGTCAACATACCTGCAGTATATGGCCGCTCCAACAGTGAAGCGTAATGTACGAAAGATTGAGAAAATTCGTGTTAGAATTATTAATCTTACTTTTTCGGTCATATTTAATAATATATGTCTACAGGAAAGACTGCTACCAAAATATACTAATATATATATTAGTATATTTTGGTAGCAGTCTTTCCTGTAGACATATATTATTAAATATGACCGAAAAAGTAAGATTAATAATTCTAACACGAATTTCTCAATCTTTCGTACATTACGCTTCACTGTTGGAGGTAAATCAAAAATCACTTCTCCAAAATTCATTTTTATTTCTAGTCTGACGCGACACGGGCGCGTTTCGTAAAACTTATTACATTTTCAAAGACTTCACAAATACACAACTGATTAGAACGTATCTCTGATTTTATATCTACATTTGAGTGAGGTGGGAAGGGTGATGTGGCATTAACACAAGACAGAACAGGAGGGAATATTAATAGGGTATTAAAAGTATCAACACAAGACAGAACAGAAACAATGGGTATTGAATAGAAGTGTTTGTAGAAAGCCTATTGGTCCATATTTCTTGATGCTTCTATATTGGAGCGGAGTCTTGAGGTGGGTAGAATATAGTTGTGCAATAATTGGCTGTTGATTGCTGGTGTTGACTTCTTGATGTGTAGTGCCTCGCAAACGTCAAGCCGCCTGCTATCGCTGTATCTATCGATGATTTCTGTGTTGTTTACTAGGATTTCTCTGGCGATGGTTTGGTTATGGGAAGAGATTATATGTTCCTTAATGGAGCCCTGTTGCTTATGCATCGTTAAACGCCTAGAAAGAGATGTTGTTGTCTTGCCTATATACTGGGTTTTTTGGAGCTTACAGTCCCCAAGTGGGCATTTGAAGGCATAGACGACATTAGTCTCTTTTAAAGCGTTCTGTTTTGTGTCTGGAGAGTTTCTCATGAGTAGGCTGGCCGTTTTTTCTGGTTTTATAGAAAATCGTCAGTTGTATCCTCTGATTTTGTCTGTAGGGATAACGTTTCTATTAACAATATCTTTCAGGACCCTTTCCTCCGTTTTATGAGCTGTGGAAAAGAAGTTCCTGTAAAATAGTCTAATAGGGGGTATAGGTGTTGTGTTAGTTGTCTCTTCAGAGGTTGCATGGCTTTTCACTTTCCTTCTTATGATGTCTTCGATGAAACCATTGGAGAAGCCGTTATTGACTAGGACCTGCCTTACCCTACAGAGTTCTTCGTCGACTTGCTTCCATTCTGAGCTGTGGCTGAGAGCACGGTCGACGTATGCGTTAACAACACTCCTCTTGTACCTGTCAGGGCAGTTGCTGTTGGCATTTAGGCACATTCCTATGTTTGTTTCCTTAGTGTAGACTGCAGTGTGGAAACCTCCGCCCTTTTCCATGACTGTTACATCTAGAAAAGGCAGCTTCCCATCCTTTTCCGTCTCGTAAGTGAAACGCAGCACGGAACTCTGCTCAAATGCCTCCTTCAGCTTCTGCAGATGTCTGACATCAGGTACCTGTGTAAAAATGTCGTCAACATACCTGCAGTATATGGCCGCTCCAACAGTGAAGCGTAATGTACGAAAGATTGAGAAAATTCGTGTTAGAATTATTAATCTTACTTTTTCGGTCATATTTAATAATATATGTCTACAGGAAAGACTGCTACCAAAATATACTAATATATATATTAGTATATTTGGTAGCAGTCTTTCCTGTAGACATATATTATTAAATATGACCGAAAAAGTAAGATTAATAATTCTAACACGAATTTTCTCAATCTTTCGTACATTACGCTTCACTGTTGGAGGTAAATCAAAAATCACTTCTCCAAAATTCATTTTTATTTCTAGTCTGACGCGACACGGGCGCGTTTCGTAAAACTTATTACATTTTCAAAGACTTCACAAATACACAACTGATTAGAACGTATCTCTGATTTTATATCTACATTTGAGTGAGGTGGGAAGGGTGATGTGGCATTAACACAAGACAGAACAGGAGGGGATATTAATAGGGTATTAAAAGTATCAACACAAGACAGAACAGAAACAATGGGTATTGAATAGAAGTGTTTGTAGAAAGCCTATTGGTCCATATTTCTTGATGCTTCTATATTGGAGCGGAGTCTTGAGGTGGGTAGAATATAGTTGTGCAATAATTGGCTGTTGATTGCTGGTGTTGACTTCTTGATGTGTAGTGCCTCGCAAACGTCAAGCCGCCTGCTATCGCTGTATCTATCGATGATTTCTGTGTTGTTTACTAGGATTTCTCTGGCGATGGTTTGGTTATGGGAAGAGATTATATGTTCCTTAATGGAGCCCTGTTGCTTATGCATCGTTAAACGCCTAGAAAGAGATGTTGTTGTCTTGCCTATATACTGGGTTTTTTGGAGCTTA